AACAGTTTCCGCCCCCGACTTTCGATGGCTCACTGGAAAAACTTAAGGGACTGGGTCTTGGCAAATGGAGAGGTACATTCGTCTGCGCGGACCAGAAATCGAAAGCTCATGGATTCATGTGAACTGCTGACGGAGATTGTTTTGGATGAACATGTCGCAGACTGGAACTTGCGAACTGATTGGAACCCCGACATGATACCCATCTTGTTTGGTCGTCAACGATTCCACATTGTACTTAATCTAATGGAGCCGCGAAAACGACTGTGACACCTGATGACGCTGAGAACGGTTTTTGAGATCTGGAGAAGACCTCACTGCCTAACCGTTCTCAAGGACGGAGCCTGCTCACTGAGATCTTGGACTTGCACACATAGTGATAGCGATCCTTTTACGCCTGTTTTGAAGCAGCATGCGGCTTTAACAACACATGCTGTTGGAGAGGGCGGGGAGGGGATTTCTATGCAATGATCGTATGGTTCATTCAGACTCTGAAGGGGCTGTCTATTTATTGCAAGATGGCTTTGAAAGCACGCGCGGCCTCAGAAGCGCGTTCCTGCTCCTTTCTGACTTCCCAGCCAAAAAAAGCCACGCACGCTTGCCAGGTATGCGCCGGAACCATTCTTTTCAGATACATCCTAAAGTCCTAACCGAAATCCCTACGCTGTTGCCATACTTTGTTCAGGGAGGAATGTCAAGTCCACTAGGTTTTTTGACTCCTCACTCGCCGTTGTTACGGGTACATCTTCGATGACCGGACGAAGAGCCTGCTGAGCTCGTCGAGCTGGATGATCCGAGGCCTGTCATGGCAGCCCGCTTGCTAAAACGTTCTCTTCCCATTTCCTGGAAGATCAAGCTGCACGATGGATGTACTGATGTACTGTCGCATCATACATTGCAAGGCCTTCCATTTGCACATAAGCATGGCTGCAACACAAAGGCACGAGAAAGGTGCACCGCGGCCATCTTGAATGACCCTCCCGCCAACCCCCCCCCCCCCCCAACTCAACATCATCGCTGAAAGCGTGCCTGGGCCCCTGTCGCTGCCCCGGCTGCTACTGCTATACCTCAAGGGGCAACCTTTGCCTCGGCCTTGAATCACTCGATTTGAGGTGAGAACTTGAAGTCTTTGTGCATTCTGGCTTCTTGATAAAGCCCCCCCATCTGCGAGGGGGTGCGGGCTTGATAATTGTTCAGGGAGCATTAAAGGAAGCTTAGGATGCCTGGAGGTTTTCAGGGAAGCCTGCAGTCGCCAGGCTGAAGGAAAAGGAGGATCAACATCCAGGCTCCTCACGGCCGCGTGCTACCAGTGCTGCTTCCGCTAGGAAGGCGGGGCCTGCTTCCGATTTCACAGCACAATGGCCATCCCCCAGATCCAACTGAGCTCTCAAAAGTTGGCCTCGGAGGCGCCCATCGCCTCTCGAGTTCTCTTGGAGGCACTCTTTGATGGTACTCTCGAGGAGGGGAGGGGGGGACCGGCTGCTGCGACTTGGGTTTTGAGGTGTGGGGTTCGGTCCATGTCGAGGGCTTTTGCTTTACCTGGGATTCCGAGGGATGGCAAGCAAAACGCCAGCTGCCAAAGCCGAGAAGTGCAAGCCAACGTATGGCAGAGCTCGGAACTCATGTGGTACGAATGCAACGCTGGTCACAAACGAGCTGTCTGACGTACATCAACCAAGTGTGCAGGAGACTTCGAAGCGCTTTTCAAGGCAAGATCTTCAATAACCTGAGTACTTTCGAATATCTCTCGCATCCACCTCCCGGTTTACTATTGAACTGAATACTGAGGATGGCACGACTGATCCGGTCAATGCCTCTCAACCCTCAAAATATCAATGCATCCAACACGCGCGTCCTCAGACATACGATTCAAAGCACAACCCTGGCTCAAGGACTAATGTGCTCCTTCCGAAGCCTCAAACCCTGTTAGTTTCAACTTCCCACCTGCGGTCGTTCGCCTTGCTGAGTCGCTCCACACCTGCCAGCGCGTCTGTGTCTCAACCGGTAGAGGAACCAAGGTAGAAGTAGGGGACTCTAAGTAGTAAATCCATGATTTAAGGCAACCTTCGCTTTAATAGTGACCCCTTTTTACTCGCTTAAGGCTTCGGACATGGAGACTCAGCGCAGCCGTGACCTTTCCATCGGGGTGCATCTGGAACCCTGAATCGTTGCAAAGAACTCGGGGCAGCTCCTTGAAATGCGCTCATAGTCTCCATGGGAAGTGCAAACTTCAACCCTGACTACTAAGCCTGAAACCGAAGTCGTGTACCACGCAGCTCTTGCTTGGCATCTGCACGACGACACAACCGGGACGTAAACATGAAGCAAAAAACCCAAAAGACAAGCTCAAAGTCCCTTAAACCATCATGGAAGCCGTGAGGACTTATGTTTCCAAGGGCCCCTGCTATCGCAGTAGTCGTTGAGGCGCACCTGACTCAGGTCACTGCCAGGCACAAATACAGCTCCTACTCGGTGGTTCCAGGGACCCTGAACCCTAAAGGGCAACTTCAACTCTGACTTAGGTGAAGGTCAGAGTGTATCAGCCACTGTTCGCCGCGTCCACTTGTAGCTCGAAGCCAAAATTCGCAAAGCCTAGTGACCAGGGCGCGCAGGGTTCGAGTGATTTTCGCGATTAAAACAAGAACTGCGGCTCTAACAGCAAGAGCGCGAACTAAAGTAGCCGCACGCCCCCCCCCCCCCCCCCCCCCCACCCGCCCCAAGAAACCCCCCCCGAGGTGGTCGGGCCGAGGCGTCCGACAAAGCTTAAAACTGAGAAGACGCATCTAACACATCCCACGAAAATCTCAACATCCGACAAGCAAGCCTGTAAACAGCCAAAGCCTCCGGCCAACGACCAAACCCCCAGAATCTCTTGTAAACGCGGCACGGCTCCATAGGAACAGGCTTCTGCGGCCTGTGGGGAAGGCTGCCCAGGGAGCTGCGCCTTGACTGCAGCCATGTGAGCGTTGAACTTGTGCGGCAAACTAAGGACACACGTGATCTGCTCCGTTTGCAGACGAGGCTCATTAGGTTCCATCTTTTGGCTACTTCCTACTGTACCTGTTCTGAGAGCTAGCTTCTGGGGCTCTCATGGTGGGCATTTTGAGAGCGGTATTAAGCCAGCCAGATGGGATGTTTCGAACAGCACCTTGCGAGGTGTTCACTCCGAAAGACATCCAACTGATGCCCAGCCTTGTATTTCAGCATTGAAGTCCAAGACGACTCCAGCCCCCTAAGCCTGTGACTCCCTTCTCCTTTCCGAAAGCACACTAAGTGTGGCTGAAAATGGCTTTCGGGTCTCAGGTAGCATCAAGCTCGAGGCGACCCTTTGGCCCTGCAACCCTTGTGCCGCCATCCCTGCCAACGCTCATAAGGCCCTAAACGCTGAAGCCAGATTATTTCCCCCCACAGCTTGGCTTCGGGCCGGAGCACTATGTGTGGAGAAGCCCGAGCAGCCGGACCTCTCAAGGGCAGGCGTAGGGGCTGGGCTCAAGGGCTCAGGGTTCTCACATGTCGTCTTGGCAAGGCAGGTCGTCATCATTGAATGGGACAGCTGTGCGCTTTCGAGGCATTGGGCTTATGAGGCCGATGTGAACATTTTCTGCCAGCATGGGCCCCAAGCATAGCCATGCGAGCCTCGAAGTCAAAAAGCGACGACAGTTTCGCATTTCGTGACCAGACATGCAAAGCGATGACAGTTTCGAGGACGGCGAGGCCACGCATGCGCCAAGGCGAGAGAGCGATCTTCGTCCAAGAAGCGAGCAGGCCCCGAGAAAAAACCCACAGTCCGCAGCAGGCACGCAGGGCCATACTGATCCGGCCCCCCTCGTACTCTGCACGATGGCGCCCTTTGAGTCTACAGACTGTTTGGGGACAAAACAGCACGAAGATGTTCGAAAGCCGCTGCTCTCAACGAGTGGCCTGTCCGGAATCCAGGGCTATCAGGCCAAGCCCTAAACGTGCGTTTGAAGGCAAAATGACTCTGTGAAGCATCTTGACCTTCCCTAAGCAGTGACCTCTAGCATGCTGGGAGCATGCCACTGCACTTAAGGTTGGGGCTGGTTGGGGTTTCATCCCCTGAAAACTGCCTGGACGATGCTGGGGAAGCCTCAGCCCCGCGATGGCTTGCGGGACGGCTTCCTTGCTCACAGGTTTTGAGGCTTGGCGGGGTAGAGGGAGGTGCCAAAGCGGTTTGGACTGACCACTCGCAACTTCTCACGGATCCCGCCAAGCAAGGTCCCCAAACCACCTCTGTCCAACCTGAACTTCATTCCAACTCCTCTCAAAACCCCAGCATCCTCCTCGCACCACTTCTCTGGCTGCCTCGTGTGCCTTTGCTTTCTCTCTGGGGGCTCAACGCTTTGGGCGGGGAGAAGTGTTGGAAGCCACTGTACGAATTGTCATCTTCTGTTGGCAGTATCTGCTGTCAGCTAGTGGAGCTGCCTGCTTCATGGCCAAGCCGGAAGGGGATGAGGCTTGGACTGTGGGCCGTGCATGCTGGGATTCTGACAAGGACTTGGTGCTGATGCTGTATCAACCGTGCCAACCTCAGTGCAGACAATCTCGACGAAACGTGCCACAGATACGATGCTGCGTTGCAGACCCTTGCCTGAGAGAGCAGCGCAAAAATTCCAAGTGCTACAAGTCATGGAGGCGTTTTGCACTTGACAGCAGTGAGCTGTCCATGGATGCAACCAAGAAATCTTTGATTTCTTGGTAGTCTGCAAATAACTACTTCCTACGTCAAGACAAAGGACGTCGGAAGCATGAATACATTGGAGGTCTATCTTGGGATTTCATGTGGAGTCTGGAGTCACACGCCCTTTGGATTGAGGAATGCCTCCGTACGGAGGATACCTCGTAATCAAGACTGGCGCAGATCAAAATTGCAGCTTTAAAATTCCAATCGGTCTGAGTTGATGACAAAAACGTACGCAGACGAACTGCGCAATGCTATGTGACTATGTATCGAGCTACAGTGAAGGCTAGGCACGTCCATGTGCTCAGCCGCAGATGCCAACATATTTGGCGCACACGTCGGCGTTGGCAACCTACGCTGCGCCACTTTCATCCCTACGAGTCTATAAGGGCATACGGGGGCTGACGAGTAGCACGGGCGTGGCGCACAATCCTAGCAGCCCTAGCACTGCTGATCGAAGCCTCTTTGTATCTAAGCTGATTAAGCCATCACCCCCCCGGTCGCAAGCCTGAAAGACTATTGCCTTTCACCGGGAGCGGGGGGCGGGGGTGGGGCGGGTGTAGGCTGAGGGCGGATTTTGGGAAGACTTTGGGAAGAACACCGCAGCACGCCCGCCTGGCCACACATTCTCGACCACCACGAGCAAAGGTTGGCCCTGGCTGTTTCGAGGTGCTGATGTTCACCTGGAAATCTGACAGATTGATTTCAACACTGACCGACTTCTTGAGGCTGCAACTCTACAGTAGAGCCTGTATTCTGAGCTCGCAAGATGTATGCAAGCACGGCAAATCAGGGCAATGACTTGCACGCAGGAGCCCGCCTTCTCTCTGAGCCAGGCCAAGTGTACCCGCGCCAGCACCCAGGGCGTCCAAGCCACCCAGCTGAAAGGTCGTGCTCGGCATGCCGATCTGCCGGAGGGGGTTCAGGAAAGCTGTGGGACTTGGAGCTTGGGCATGCCATTGTGCAGAGTGCCTTTGGAGAGACAGGGTTAGGACTTTGGGGAACTTTGCAAAGCCCTCGCCTTCTCGTTGTTCGTGATCGTACTGGCTTTTTGCTCGAAAGCCCATTCACTGCTCTCTCTGAGGGGTTCAGCCTTCACAGCCGACTTGCTTGATGTTCTGGACTTCGTCGATCTTGTCTTGGTGGATTTCGACTTGGTTGACCTCGAAGACGTGACCGGCCTTGTTGACTTTGTCGTTTTTCGCGATTTTGTCACCTTCCTGGAGCTCTTCGAGCCTGAAGTGACGGAGTGGCGTGCCACTGTGAAGCCAAATGGTTGCGAAACCGATGTGTGAGGTTCCTCGGCTTCGCTGGCCTCTGCCTCCTCAGCAGACGGCTCCTCGGCTGCAGGCTCCTCGACTTCGCTGGCCTCTGCCTCCTCATCGGACGGCTCTTCGACTTCGCTGGCCTCTTCCTCCCCGGCAGACGGCTCCTCGACTTCCGTGGCCTCTTCCTCCTCGGCAGATGGCTCCTCGGCCGCAAGCTCTTCGACTTCGCTGGCCTCTGCCTCGTCAGCAGACGGCTCCTCGACTTCGCTGGTCTCTGCCTCCTCAGCGGACGGCTCGTCGGCTGCAGGCTCCTCGACTTCGCTGGCCCCTGCCTCCTCAGCAGACGGCTCCTCATCTTCGCTGACTTCGGCCTCTTCAGCTGAGGGCTCCTCGACTTCGCTGGCCTCTTCCTCCTCAGCAGCGAGCTCCTTCACTTCGCTGGTCTCTGCCTGTCCGGAAGACTCCTCCACCTCAGTGGCTTCTGCCTCGTCTGAGGGCTCCTCCTCGGCTGCGCTGCCCTCTGCCTCTTCAGCCGAAGGCTCCTCCGAGGCGGCGAGGAACTTGAGAGTGCTGTACGCCAAAAACGGGGTGAGGCATGTATTCATTGCATGAAAAGCTTATGTTGCAAGGATGCTCAACGCATTTTCACGAGTAGCACTGAGCACTGCCGAGGGGAATAGCCCTTTCGTGGCTGTTCTCAGAGAGCTCACAAACGTGTGCAGTCAGAATGCAAGCAGTCTTGCTTTTTTGTTGGTTTCCACAGGATAGAGGAGTTCAGACATCAAAGCATGCCATGCCAGGTCGAAAATTCACAAGAGGAATAGCCACTGACTTGTGCAACCCCGGCTGTAGCATTGCGTCCCTGGATCACGCTGGTTCTCAACGGGCCCCTAAAGCCAGTGATTCCCGGGCAAGACATGCGGAATCACAGGAGCCACTGGGGATGAACAAGATGCTCACAGCCCACGGAAGCTGCCAAAGTCCTAGGTATTCCTAGGTAGCTTTTCCGCGATCTCTTTGCCGGTGAAGGTTGTTGAGGACGAGCCCGAACCAGGTGTTGCGAAGTAGCTTCAGGAGGAAGCTTACCGTGCAAACTCCTCGCTGCGAAAATTGATGCACGCCAGTCCGTCCTGCTTGTGATAAGGCTATGTTTGGTGACTACAGAGGCCTTGATTCAGGAAGCAAAGTGCGCCTGCTCCCCGGAGGGTAATTAAGTCCCGCCCCACTCCCGCAAGCTGCACATAACGGGTGCCTACCATGAACACGTCCTCCAGGGATTGCAGGGCGGCGAGACTTCCAGCCGCGAGGTTGAGTATGAAGTTGAAAGCATGGTTTTGAACATTTGCCTCGTTTCTCATTATTTAAAGCCCAAGGCTCATTCATTTACACCGCTTGCAGTTGGGGTTGTGGCCTAGCCGCGTGCGCAGTCATCACCCCGGGACTGTGCCAACGGCAAGCACGCCGTAAAGATGTTGCAGCCTCAAAGTCGCACATTAAGAACGAGCGTAGTGAGCCCGCCGTAGAAGACTTTTTACAGAAGTGTCTCTGCCCTCACGGTGGATACAAGGAAGGTGGAAACCATTGTCTCCGTCTGTGCATACTGTGGGTCAGTAGTATAGTATGCAGCAATGTTCCCCTCCCTGCTTGCTATCATCAGCTTTGGTGCGTTGCGGAAGAACAATCCCAAGGTCGAGAGCATGTGCAATGGATCCTCTATGCAAAGGATGCACTGCTAGCACACCTGATGGGGAACCGGCTCTTCATGCACCTGCCCTTCTCGTGCACGAGGGCGTGCCAGGTGCTGAAGGCCCGTTTCACCGCTACGGCAAAAAGGCACTGATTTTGCTCCGACAAGTTTTTATGGCACGGGTAAACACCTTGAGAAGACGAAATTAGACCGGGGTGTCCTTCCTGGTGAAGCTCTGTAAATAGCAGCATTTCCAGGTGATTGACGGGCTTGGCTTTGTGTTCTCCCCACTTGCATCGGCGATTAGCCAGTTGCAAGGCATGTGGATGGAAGCGTGCAAAAAAGGTCCTTTAAACATTCGGCTTCGGCTACTTCGACCCAGCGGAGGCCTTCTTCTTCTCCGCTGACCGCTCTCTCTCTCTCTCTCTCAACAGTTCTTTCGTCCCCTTCTCTCTTCTTCGTCTTCTCCTTCTACGGGGCTTGAGGAGTAGGGACTCTCTCTCTCTCTCTCCCTCCCTCTCCCTCCCCTCCACTTTGCTGGCCTCTGCCTCTTCAGACGGCTCCTCGGCTGTTGGCTCATCCACTTCGCTGGCCTCGGCCTCCTCGGCCTCTTGACCTGGCTCCTCCACTGCCTCCGCTTCGCTAGCTTCGCTCGATTCGCTGAGTGCTTCAGGCACTTCAGGCTCAGCTGAAGGCTCCTCGGCTTCGGGCAGCTCTTTGGGCAGGCCGAAGGGACTTGGGGCAGACTCTGGAGCCTCATCCGCCTCATCCGCCTCATCCGATGGTGCCTTCTCTGACTCCTCTGTCTCTGCAACCTTTGAGATCGTCTTTGCGGTCCTCCCTTCAGATGCTTGGCTTGACACCTCTGCTGGATCACGGTCGGTTCCGAAACCAGCCACCCCAGACTCGCTCACGCTGCCCACCACGCTCGTGCCCTGACTTTCCACGGTGTCGCCGGATGCATCGACAGCCTCATCTTCCTGCATGGCGGCTGTGTCCCCGGCCGCTAAGCACACGCCCTTGTAGCTGATGCAAGCTTCGACGTTCAAGTCGGTGCGGCACTCCTTGAGCCAGGTTTCGCAAGCTTCCTTACTGGCATGCTTCTGCGCCGTGGCAGGACTCTCCTTGTGGTCACGACTCTCCTTGTGGCTGGACTTCTTCGTAACCTCTTTTGACTCTTTTGCCTGGGCCACCTCGCGCTCTTTCTTGAGCTGCTTCTTCTTGGCTTTCTTGGACTTCGAGGTTGTGGCATCCGCTTTTTTGTTCGCAGATGTCTCCTCCTTACTGACCGACGTCTCTGAGGTCGAAGAGGCCTTCTCGATGTGCTGTCCAGTCACAATCGCCTCGACTGGCTTGTCTAACTTGGCTGGCTCGTTTGCCACTGGCGAGCTGCTCGCCGGCGAGTTGCTCCACTTATCGTCTGCGGATGTGAAGCCCAGCTTCTCCTTTCACCCCAGTAAGAACAGTCAGTCACATTCGGCCATACGGAAGACCCGCTCAGACCCACGCAGCTCATTGATGTTCAAAGCTTTACTTCGGGCCAAGGCGCGATCTCCGCATAGTCGTGATGAGGACGCTTCAAGGCCTCCTCCGTTGTTCGGGAGAGCTCGGCTGCCGAATCAGTGCCGACGGAGCCTGAAGCCGCTGATGCAATGAAGGCGCATGAGATTCGTCTGAGATGTGTTTGTTGTTACACAGGGCTTACTCAGTGGCTTCAACATCAGTCAAAGGAACTGATGGACAGAAGTTCCTGCGAGGGGAGGTTAGGCATCTGCAGCAGGTTCGTCGCATCTGCGTTGGATGACTGCGCGTCGCCACTTGCCGCGGCCACTGCCAGGAAAAAGGAAAGAGCCAGGTGCATGGCCCTAGATCGTGGGCGCAACGGTTCGGTTACCTGGTCAATGCTATCAGCTTGCACCTCAATGTTGCAGCAAGAACTGGTGGCCCTGGTGGCTGGCTCTTCTCTGCCATCAAGGACTTACTTAAGTGTTCCCCTGCGTCAGAATCCACTGCGCACGCAGGACACAGGATTGAACGAAACGGACCTTGGCTTCCGACTTGTACTCCTGCCATGGGCCGATATACATTGCACCACACCTGCACGGTGAATCTGATCTCTGTCTTCGGCTTCGTTGTAGAATTTATGATTTCTGCACTTTCAACTCCTAGCTACACGCTTGGAACCCTTGTCCCGCCTTGCCCGAGCAACTGGGGCAGTGGATTTGGGATTCTTGGAGGCAACTGGGCCTTCTCTTGAAACCCTGCTGAAACTGGAGTAGCTTTCGAGTTGCGTGTCTAGGGATGCCTAAGCCTTTGGCCCCAGACTCTAGACATGCCCAAAAAATGCCTCAGAACCCGCATTCCTACATCTGGCGAAAGGTGTTGCAGGAGGTCCTCTGAAGTAAATATCTTTCCATCAGCTTCCCCCCTTCACAGAGCCTACTAAAGCCTCAGCCCGTCTTTGAGCAGGCCATGGCTTCTGAGCCAACTCGCTGCAGAACCACGAAGCTTCTAGAACTGACAAATCGAGGCGGCTGGCGATTCCTGCCCTTTCTAGGGAACCCTGTTCAGGCCTCAGGGTAGGGTGGGTTTTCCTTGTTCACTCCCACCAGCTGGGCGAACCGCACTCCAAGAGGTGAAGTGTCCCGTGTGCCACCCAGGACTTTTTCCACAACGCCGCGCAGTGCGAGAATGCTGGCGAAGAGGTGCCATTTCAGAATACTGCATGACACTATCTCGGTCATGGTCATGAAGAAGAAGGGGCACCGGAGTCGATCCCCTTCAACGCTCAGTCCAGCCCCAGCTGACAACTACGTATTCCTGACGGCTACAGCCCCAGTGAGACGGCTCAACACAATCCTTGTTGATGAGCGAGCTGAGGGACGTGGTGGAAGCAGCTTCGAGACCAGCTCATTGCCGTAGTCTGTCAGGTAGTCGCGGCTACTTCAGTTCTGGCCATGTTGACACGAAAGACTGGAATTCTCACGTTGCTGGATGCCCACAGCGGCCTTTGGGTCCTCAGTTCTTCTTCTTTTTCTTCGGAGGGCTTCCTGGTCACAGTCTGCTGGTCTACTGAGAATCTACTGTAGCCGGCTTTATCGGCTTTCCATTGCGCCTGGGTGCATGCAAAGCCCTGCAAGCAACTCGAAGCTTGGAATGGGGCCACGATGTCTGCGTTATCTCAAATTGGTTGATCTGCTCAGGGACGGAACCGCCTGCCTCCACCCACCCTTGAAATGGGAGTGTTGGACTCTTTTCGGGTTCGCCTCTCAAACCTCGAATGGAATCTTTGAGCCTATGTCGCCGAAGCATCTGGGTGCTGACTTAGTTTACATTGTTCTCGATAGGACCTAGGATTCAGCCGACTTCGTAGGAACTCAGGATGCTGACGCTCCGGATGTAAGCAAGCTTGGCGGGCTTGTGTAGCACTTCTCCCGCTGCCTGACTCGGAGCTCGACGAGCTAGATGATGACCTTGGGAGGTATGCAACCGACTTTTGTGCTGCACCTCCGTGGCCTCAGGATTCGATATCGCTTCCTGCTCTGCTCTGCGGGCAAGCGGCGAAGATGACCTGAGCTGCACAACCTTACGACCTTCAAGGGCTTCAAAAGCTTGAGGTCGACATGCCGAAAGGCCGCCAAAGCTCTCAACCTCTGTTAGCACACACTGGAACATGCTGGCTCGACTAAAGCACTAGGTTGCTCAAGGCCTGAAGTCTACCCTGAAACCCCAAGCGGGACCGAGCGGAACCGTGTGAGGAATTCGATGCATGCACTTCCTGCAAGCACGCAGCGAAGAGCTCTTCTTCTTGTCCTTCTTTTTTTTGCCTGAAAGTTCTGGCCCATCTCTGAATGGCGTGTGCTGCAAACAGGCTATGTTGATCTAGATGTCGCTGTTTGCGGGCCCATGTTGGCTGCCATTTGAAGCCTATCGTTTCTACGCCATCAGTGTTTCCCCTATTGGAAGTGGGCTTTTGGTCAGTTCGGGAACAATCGACAGATGCAATCTGAGGAGGTCCGAGCTTGGATCAAGGATACGTCCAGCGATCAGCATGCTGCGACCCAGCTGCTTTTCTTCTTATCCTTTTTCTTTTTGTCTTTCTTCTTCCTCGGAATCAGGAAGGGATGCGGGATGATCATGTGGTAAAGTAGAACTTTGGAGGAAGGGTCCTGCAACCTGCATGCCTCATGCCATGTGGGGTTGAGCACGCTGCTTGTCTTTCTTCTTCTTGTCTTTCTTGTCCTTCTTGTCCTTGCATGTGGGTGAAAACTGCGTCCCTTCAGTGGGCTCGCAGAAGACATGTCACATGCATGGGCTGTTTCTTGCATATTCAGCTGTGGGTGTGACACTGAGCCCTGAAACACAATTACGTTCCCGCCTTCTTTTTCTTTGGCTGTGGCCTTGGCAAAAAGGCAGAATATAAGCACAGCTTCCGGGTGCTCCATGACATGCAGCCGCAGGGAACTCTTAGAGTGACTGTCCTGGCATCCGTTCAGGGTCTAAGTTCGGGGCGCACAGCCCTGTGGCTGCGACACCTTGGCATGGATGGAAGAGCTCAAATTATTCCTAATACTATTATGAATTATGATCGTTCTATGTCTTATTGTTCCATAATCTCAATTTTATAAGGTTCATTTAGGCGAGGCACAATGCGAATGTTTGGTCAGCGCGACTTCGGGGGCTTCTGGACATGCTGCGCCCTCTTTCCCGCTTCAGCCATTTGTCATCACAGCATGTGAGACTCGCACGGGGCCGCGAAGCTTCATGGGCGTCCGAACTTTGCATTTGCTCTGAGGATGAGCTCATTGCGGGTATGTGGGGTAAAGTGCCATATCTCCGGCCTTCTCAGTCAGGCCAGTAATTATTTCACCATACCCATGCCAAGGGTACTTTCGTGTCAATGGCAAAAACCTTCTTCGGCAGGGATGACGAGGGCATGCAACAACCCACGCTCTAGATTTACCGGGACCTCATCTGCCAAATGCCCTGACCCTCAGCTGATGATTCAAAGATACCTGTTATAGAAATACTCGCAATACTAAGTCGAATAAGAAACGACAAGCATGATAATAATAATAATAACAATAGTAGAAATCTGCACATTCTTAAACAAACAGCTTTCAAGCCCCCGAGATTGCATGAGCATCGCTGGCCCACGGACACGCTCCTGTCTTCAGAGCGTGCGCAGGCTTTGTTCCGTGTCCACTCACTGGGATTTAACGTTTAGGGTTTAGGGTTCTTGAGATAAGTTGACTGGGACTCGTGGAATCCTGCCGAGACATCCCTTGTAAATTACTCCATTATCAGTGATCTACGTGGCTACTTGCAGCTCTTAGGACTGCTATTGCTGCCTATTTTTTCTTGTGTGTAGTTGCGTTCGGGGCATGTGCAGATGTAGATAGACTCTAGCGAGCCTAGATAGAGGTTCTGCAGCTATTCGCATGCTCTAAACATCAGTGAGACGGAGCCCCTCGCCCTCCCTTCTTGAAAAGGCTGGCTGGCGGCACTTCATAAGCCTGGCCTTAAACCTACGCACGTGGCAACATCTGATGTTAACTTCGTCTGGGGTTTGCGGCATTGGCCAAGGCTGGTTGTGCCCTGATCCGAGTGTCAACTTGCAAGATCTTACCCACACCTTTTTTCTACCAAAGCTCTCTGGCATTGAGCCCTAAAGTTTCTGGCACCAGCCATCCTGCCACGCGCGAGCCGCGGCCGCGGGGCGCATTTGGCTTGAAGATTCGAGGGCTTTCAGGGGATTCGACAAGTCCTCTCCATGTCTCATGCCCCACCACAGTTGGATGCCTGGCATGGCCTTCACCACCACTCCCAATACCCTTATGACCCTTTTGCCCCTAAACCTGAACCCTCAACCCTAAACCCTCACGAGGCGAAGCGGCAGCTGGCAGTCATGGGGAAAAAGAAATGGTTCGGCCCAACCAGCAACATCACGGTGCGCTCCTGGGGAGTTCTTCTTGGTGGGCGCATTCGTTCGGTAGGTTCTGGCGAAATTTCGGCTTTGTTGGGGGGAGAAGGTGATTGCGTCCCCGTCGCCCACTCAACACCGCTCCAAACTTAGCTCTCCAAGACTTCGATTTAACCTGTGCTTTCAGGTTCCAAGCTTGCGGTCTACAGCACAGTTCAGGGTTTGACGTTGAGGGGCCAGTCTTGCTATTGTGGAGCGACCCCAGGGCCTTAAGGGTCTAGTGAAGGTTTGCAGGGTTCTGGGTTCCAATGTCTGACGTTCCAGATGCGCGCCCAGTTCATCATCCCGCCACTCAAGGTCACGCTGTGGCGAGCGTTCCGACATGTACAACAGAACTCAGGCTCTGAAACTCAGCTAGGGAGGCACAGCTACGCAGACCCAGTAAACTTTGTTAGGAAAGTTCGAAGTTCGACGACAGCTGTGGCTTGCAAACAAGATTTGCTCCGCAGACTCTTTCAAAGCGACGCTCCAGACAGCGAAGCTGTTGTGGCAAAAGGCGTGTAAGTACTGTAGCTGTTCTGGGTTCGCATCCTTCGGCTTGTGTTCCGACCTGGGGAGGACTGCAGTCTGTCCTGTGGCTGTGGATTTTCAGGCCTTTGAAGCGCCTTGCCAAGTTACTTGGGTCATGGCCCATCTTGCGCGCAACGCTCCAAGACAACACCAGTGGCCGGCTGCTGAGTTTGCTCAACCAAAAGGGGCAAGCGCAGATCCGGTCACCCGTCCTCTGCCTCATACCCTTGGCACTTCACTTTCCTCGGGCTCGACTGTCTTGAGAACCGAATTTGCACTCACAATCAGCTCTTCGCAGGCGCTACTCTGGGGTTCTTGGCTTCATGGTCATTCATGCGGCCAGGGCACACAGCCACGCAGCCTTCTGCAAGGCCCTTGGCTTCGAATCGGTCCTGGAAGGGCCCGTCGTCAACCTACGCATGACCATTTTTCTAAGCAGCTTGACTTACGCTTGGCCATGTCGGCTGCTAAGCAAAAGCGCTATTGTCAGTTCTCGTGAAAGGCCGAAGCAAGCTGAAATCGATGCCCCCAAGCCATGCCAGGAAGGTTTGAAGACATGTGTGTTGTGGTGTTGTTCGGGGCACGTGTGGGCAAGCCGATGCTGGCGGGAATTCCGCGTCTGCCTAAGAAGAGCGGGTCGGAATTTTTGGCGTTGTAGGGCTGACTGCTTAGTTAGACTTGGGGTCCTCTGCGGCGTGGGACAACTGCACTGGCTGCTTGTTGTTGTCCAGCTGCATGACCTCCACCTGGAAAGGACCACATTCCTACTGGGGTTTAGGGTTTAGGGTTTAGGCATTTTAGGGTTTCGGGTTCAGGGCTGAACCTTGCTTTCACGCCTTGCAGCCAACGCCAAAATATTAGCTCCAAACCCCCTCGCCTGCCTCTGCCTGCTCAAGGGCATGGCGTTCTTCGGCGGCCCAATCGATGATGCCAAACATTTCCTGCTTTCTTGTCTTGCTTCGAGAGGGCCCAAGGCATCAAGGTCACCCCAAGTCTGGTGAATCGGCACAGGAAAAGGGGCAGGACACCATGTAGGCATCTGTGATTGCTTTTTGAACTTGAGCCGTATTGACAGTGTTAGTGTTAGGCTGTCGAATCCGGGATTCTTATGCGCCGCTACACCTCGCGACTGATGGGATAACCTCAAGGTGCGACCCTGAAGGGGGGGTGAAGCCCCGATCACAAAGCGTAGAGGTCAGTATAGGTACGGCCACAAGTTAGCTTGGGAGAAGAAAAATGTCGAACTGGCATGTACATCTTATATCCGACGTTCTCATCTCATCCTTGTACTTACAATCATCCAGCCCGTATATCCATCTGAAATGGGGTTGAAACTGAAATGTCATGTCAACTCATCTACCCTGCCCCTTGCTACTTTTGTTCATCGCGCTGAATAGGTCCTCCGACGCCTTGGGCAGCTCGTCCGGGCAACGGAAGACATGGATCGACAGCGAGGCCTGCGCCTCCACTTATCCGAAAGCAACGCGGAACGACGTCTCAAGTACTAGTAAGTCAGTGAGTATGTACCTATGTATCTATGCACGCGCTGTGCGCCTTGTCTCGCCCTACTCTGGACCATCGGACCCGGAATCCTCCAAACCTATACCACCGGAACTTAAAACCCCATCACCCAGCCTTGAGACCTTTCGAGCCCCGTTTAAGAGCCCCGTTTTGAGGCCTGGCCTTGGGTAAGAGCTTGACGGTGAGGTCTGTCAGCCCTTGGTCGAGACTCTTGAGGTCGGTCGACAGCAAGGAGACCTCTGGGCAGGAATTGTGGATGTCGGGAAAGGCGTTGTCAAGGACTTCTCCCAGCCACAAACCCCATGCCGTACTGCAGGTGACATCGCCAGCTGACGTCAGCTCGCGCACAGCCCGCGAAACACAACCGAATCCTTTGGGAGCCCAAAGTTGCAGGATGTGCAGCAGAAGTTTGGGGCCGCCCTACACCCTGGCACCCAGCTGGCACCAAACCTCCCAGAAGGTCTCGCCAGCTGCCGAACGCAAGCCCTGGTAGAGCTCATGAAGCCTAAAACCCGATTCCCGACTGCTAAGGCAATGCCGGAAAACCTCGGTGCCGTGAAAGAAGTCGGTTTCCGCCACCTTTCCGTGCAATCTCTCTCTCTCTCTCTCTCTCTGTGTCTCCGTGAGGACGTCCTGTGTACCATTCATGTCTTACCAGGAAGGCCCAAATCTGAGCACCGGCACCTGCACTTTGTTCAGTGCCGCTGGAAGGAAGCAGATCTTCGCCTGCCCTGCGGCATCCGAGATGGCCTCTGCCCACGGAAGCTGCAGATTTGCTTGTGATTCCAGTATGTTCCGAAAGTAGGGGTGCCTTATTGTGGTCCCTAAGGGAATCCTACCCTACTACTTGTTGTCTAGATTAGGGGCCCCTTATTCTCGTAAACCTCCATATTTTGGTCACTCTAAGGAACAGCGAGAGCAGCGAGAACGTGCTTTCCATGGAAGACTCGGCCGGTGCTGAAACCACTTTCCGACCAAAACATCAAGCAAGAAGCACCTACAGGCATCTGTTTTTTCAACCCCATAAAACCAGAAGCCTGAAACCCAAAAGCCTTGCACTGACTTACCCGCTTTCGGGCGCGCCTGAAATGGAAGCGGTTGGCACTGACCTTGGTTGCGATTCGGCTCGCAGTTTAAATAAGGCGGAGACTGCATTGACCGCGAGGGCACTTTTGTGTAAAACTACATTCTGGATGTCGCGCCGCCACCTATCTGGCAAAGCCGATCACTCTATCCCGGCAATGATGCTTGCGGTTCCGTTTACACCCTGATCCCGAATTGCCGCAATGTTCACCAGAACCGGGGCTCCAAACCATTCCAAAGCCCCAATTGAATAGGCAAAACATATGAAGCAAACGGCGCAGCTGTGCAGGTTGGAGTCAAGCTGCTAACGTGGACCACCCCATCCGTGGAAGCCTTCACCACAGTTTTAAAGCGAATTGGGGCTACAACACCACTGCTTTAGAGCGAATTTGGGGCTACAACAGCGAGATTCTGAGAGGGCTCAGGGATCGAGGCCTTTCCTAGTATGCACCTCTAGACATGAGGGTGTAGTTTTCGATGCATATATTCTTCTTGCAACATTAGCTGAGATTCGCATACTTAGGGTTCGTCGTTGGCCTCGGTGGCGAAGCCTCGCGGATGGCAAGCAAGGACGCAGACGACGTGGCCTCTCCAGGATGGGCTACTAGACCCTATGTAGCCCGCAAAGAAGGGCGTTTATAGGGCTGCTTATGGGGGTTATAGGGCCTTATGGGGCCTAATAGCCCATCCTGGTTCATTCTCTCACAGACATCCTGAAAGCTGGCACGAACCCCCCATGACTCAACATTCACCTATCGTTTCCCTGCAGCGGTGAACTCTTGTGGTACAGCAGCTGACCACACACCAAGCCCCGAAAAGCCTGCCTTTCACTCGCAGCTCCCCCCCCCAGACATGCATGACCTACGCCCCGTCGTAGCAAAATTTCCTCAATAAGATTCGGGCAGGCACCGCCTCCAAACCCCCAAGGGCCACCCGGCCAACCCAAACGCTGTTTGAGAGATTGTTGCCCCGAGTTCTTGTGTTCAGGAATTTTCGGATCCGGAACGAAAGAGAATGCTTCTGAAACGAGGAGGCCTTCGCCAACGTGGCCGTCCTCATCATGGCCCAGTCTCTCAAACAAGAGAGAAACCCATAGACACTGCGCGAAACGTGACACCCACCCCTTATTCAAGGGCCTTCGTGGGAAACGGCAGCAAAATGTGGAAGAAGTGGCTACCCAGTCTCAGCGCGCCGGCTACAGCATCAACCCACAATCTCCCCAAAGGTTCCAAGATGGATTGGGTTAGGATGACAAGTCGAACATCAAGGCCCCAAAATGCGAAGACACTCCAAACTCAAGCTCCACAATCTTGTCAGGTCCTCAATCCTCTGCTCGGCCTCCTCGAATTCACCTGGTCAGGGTCAAACGAAGAACCAAACGGGCATAAGCGAGGATCGGAAGGGCTTCTGTGGCATAGCTGAGCGCCATGCTACGTCTATTGGTTTTCAGCCATTGCCATGGAAAAGCTCTGGCTCCCTTTGTGAAGTCAGGCTCTCCATTGATCGGTCTGAAATTCAGTCTGAAACCTTGCTTCTTCTGAATGATGTCGGCATGTCTGGGCTCTCTGACGGGCGCAGCGAGTCCGAACACGCAAGAGGACGTGCCACTGAAGTCTTCAGGCTCCGCACGCTGACAAGTTGAATAGTTGTGCAGCATTGCGAAAAGCAACATTCTCCCAATCTCTCTGTGTCAGGTGCACAGTTTCTGACAAGTTGTTAAACCAGCCTGCCCCTTCTGAGATGGACTCATATGCAGTATCCATGGAAAACATAACGCGTTCAGGCCCCATCACAGACAATGCATGCTGAAACCCCGGAGTGTCGAACATGCCACTGGTGGTGATATGAAAGTTGTTCTTCAAATACCAAGTGACGTTGTGCTTGCGCTTGTACAAGCCATTCTCTGGACACGGGGCCAGTTTCATGCCAGGTCCTGTATGGCACGACACTGATTCTGGGGTCCAGCCCTGCTTCCTGAGGCGGTGATCAATGCGCCAGGCCATCCAAACCAAAATCTCTCCATCATGACCGATGAACTTCAGATTTGGAAACTTGTCGAAGAAGCGAGAATGAAGCGGAGAACATGCTCCGCAGTCTCGACATGAAAGCCCCATGGTGACACGCGCATCTCTGGAAATTGTGTAAAAAACCCTTTCGACTCCGCCTCACGAGGATGCAAGTAGATGGGCTTGCCGGATTTCTCGACAAAGGCCCAGAATGGATCATACTCCTTGGTAATGTAGTAGTTGAAATCACCGCCTGTGTTTGACGTGTCATAGCCATTGATCAAAGCTCCGAGCGACCCTAGCTTCAAGCAGTCTGCAAATTGTGAGATTGATGCCTGTGGATCCCACAGTGGAAGGATGCAAAATCCGCCAAGGTGAGGTTTGCCTGAGGCATCGTTGGCTGCACTGATCTGTTTGAAGAACTTCCTGTTCCATTGCTTGAATTTCTTAACGGATGTGCCGTCGGAGACGTCTTTCATGTCTTGGGTACTACCGGTTATCGACAGGATCATGAAGTCAACTCCGTAATTTTGTGCGACTTTGACCCGGGTCTCGGCAATTCGCCTATCTGCCAAGTCTTCCAAGTCTTCCAGGTTTTGCCACCACTCTACTGGCGGCTCTCCATTGGAGTATTTCCAAACACGCTTGAAACCGACATGTTCCTCCAGGGCGATCTTACAAATCGACGAGCCTGCAGCTCCATTGGCGGCATGACTCACTTGAACTGTTTTGACTGAGAGCAAGTTAAGATCCTCCCTTTCCGGTGCGAAGGTTGAGATTGTGAGCATCGCTTGAAGCATCACCAGCGCTCCAACATGAAATGCCACGGCCATGGCACGGAACAAAGTGAACTCACTTTTGGAGCACAAGATCAGAAGTATTCAGTCGCTCACGCTCGGACGCACCCGGCTTGAGAAGCCAAACTCGAGCCTCAGTTCCGAAGGCCATCCGGCGAAGTCGCTCTCTTTGCAACATGCTAATTGATGCCCACATTGCAAGACATTCGCCTGATGATCAAGTTAGACCACATCACCCTCGCATCCCTCACTGCCCCCCCTGACCCACAAACAGTTCTCCATTAAAAACATTCAATAAGCCCATCAGACACTAAACCCTAAACCCTTTTTTGCTGCAGGGAACCCTAAACCCTAAACCCTAAACCGCAAACCCTAAACCTTAAACCCTAAGCCCCATCCCCCAAGCATCATCAAGACGGTGGCCTCTAGCCGGCGCCTCGAGGACCAGCTGAACACGCAGCCAGCGCTTCGCGAAGAAGGGCTCGATCTTCTCGAAGATGCCGTCCACCTGCCGAAGGATGTTAGGGTTTGGGGTTTTTTTTTGCCACCCGCTTAGCTGACCTCTCGGACACTCTGCAGGGAAAAGGCGTTTACATACTGGAGGGTTTAGGGTTTAGGGTTTTGTTGATTTCGGCCGTTTTTTCAGGCTTTCACAGCTCCAGTGTTCGCAAGTTTGTGGGGTCGCATGAAAAACGAAAAGCAACAGAACGAAGCAGTTCACTGCATAGTTGTTCAAGCTGTGAAGACATCAAAGCACCATAAGTCCGGCTTGACATCAAACTTCTAATTCAACAGGACCAGGTTCCTTCAGAAAGCGAGCGCTGGATCGATCAGAGAAGGAACCGGTTTAGGAACAAGGCTGGCTGTCTGAAGTTGTGCTCTGTTATGCTGTTTGCTTGACATGTTAGCTTTATGACTTTCTTTCTTGGTTCTTGTTTAAGCTGGTTTGAACTCTGCAAACGTCACCTCACCTTAATCCGTTTGCATCCATCGGTTGTAAGTGAAGACTGGACCCTTGACTAGCGAACCACAATATTGGGTCTCTTTTCCTTTTGCTTTTGGTATTTCTGGAAGGATGCCATCAGCATGTGTAGTTAACATCGTCTGCTTTGCAACAACTAGGAACCAGAGAACGTTTGCTCTTTGCATCCACCTGGCTTTCTAGGTGAAGTATATACAAACTCCCATCCTTCAGAACAGAGAAGGAGTGGGACTAAGAAAACAATCCAGTCTGAAGAAGTTATTCCCCTCGCCAGCAGGTAGGAACCCCTTTGTGCTATTCAGTGTTGGGAAATGTTGGGAGTGTTACTCCCTGGGCCCACGGACTCAGAACTGAGTCTGGAAATATCTGTGAAAAAAGATTCGAAAACCCGCCGAACAAATGCGAAGGACGAGAAACCTAAAATTGCTTTCGCCACTCCTTCTCTGCACGGTTGTCTTGGCGAGTTTGAAACATGCTTCTTTTCTGAAATCCATGGAACCGGCGGACGCAACAAGCAGGCATTCGCAGGTTGCCAGTCGCGAAGCAGACGATGTCGAGAATATATCCGTCCTACCGCGAAAGGAAAGAGACCTGGGAGTGCTTTTGCTCGTCAAGGATGCGGTCTTCACTTATCACTAATGCGGGCAAACGGGTGAAGATGAGACGCCCTCTGGGTTTTTGCAATGCTCAACTTGCGAATAATGCCAAAGAGAAGCATGTTGTCCAGCCCTTTCATGCTCTTGTCCTGCACAAGATAAACAACTTGTATGTCTCGAGGGTTTATGCTTGACCCCTTCCTGCTCTGAAAGACACAAGGCTCTCGTTCCAAAGGCTAAGTCTAAAGGTTTTGAACACCACTTCACATCTATGGAACCATGCAGACTCCAAAACAAACATCCTCTGGTAGGATTATCCCTGTATCCTTCCAGAAAAGCAAAGGACAATATTGTTTCTTTCGGCAGTGAAGGATTCAGTTTGAACGTATCACATGGGGCGAAGGAATAAAGGTGATGCGACGCCCTCTGCGTTCGCAGTGTTCAAAATTGCGGCAATCATGGATCAAGCCTCTTGATCGCAGCCTCTCTCTCCTGCTGCAACTCCAAACCAGCACCCGACTGGCGTCAATCCTTAAAATCGAGGCTTCTTCAAAACAAAACAATTCAATTCTTTTTTCTCTAGCAAGTTTCTTCTACAAAGGGCCCTCTGACATGCCTAGGCCCAAGAGCCCTAAACCGGCCTCCTCCAAGGTCGGCACATCCGGGTGGGGCATCGTGAAGAGACACCGACCCCGCGTGGAGCGGGTGAGTGGGTCGCTCCAAAGCAGGAGGACCTCGCTGCGTGGGTCTTAACGAGGACAGCTGTCATGAAGTACATGACTGTAGGTTGGGATGGTGACTCTATTGGGCGTTGAGGCTATCATGTGCTGATGACAAGCTCAGGGGCTCAGGCCTGCAGTTTCCCAGAAATGGAACTGACATGAATTATGCCCACTAGTTATGACGACTGCTTTCAACCCATGCTCACCATCTTCCACCACAAAGAACCCTGCTAAAGTTCGAAACTTGAAAGGAGCAGTGACGTCCACAGGCAGTACGTGATTTTGGTTGACTCCGTGCTAGAGCCGCTAACCCCGTGGATTTGGGGGATGCCGTTCAAGCCGTTGACGCCGTGAGTATGTAGGTGACGCTGTTGATGCCGTGAAAGCCGTTGACGCTATAAGTGACACCATTGATGCCGTGAGTACCCGCTGTATGCCGTTGACGTCTTCGCAGCTTCGCCCGGAAAATCACGTCTTCGCGCCTTTGCACCATCTGAACCTTCACGTCTTCGTGCCTTCGTGTCCTCGCGTCCTCGCTTCGCGTCTTCGCCCCAACCTCTACGGACATCAATGAACCTGAACGTGTTAGTGCAAGCCAAGGGGAAGCTCAGCCCTGAATTTCACATGACTTGACTTGACATCCTCAACCCGGAGTTCTCAAGATTTTTTCCGAAACTCTCTTCAAAGCCCCTAAAGCTGCTAAAACAGGGGCTCCGCCTCCTGGAGCCGCTCCCTCTAAAACCGACTCCCAAATCAGAGCACCTCGATGGTGGGAAGCCGATCTCGCCGGTAGGGGTGCTGACGGATTCCTTCTGGGATGTCTGTGACTTGGTACTCTGGCACCTGGCAGGGAAGTGCTCGGGTGGGGTTCTTGGAGCAACAAATTGCCTCAGCGCTGTCATGAAAGGCACATCACCAAACTTAGGGGTTACGGATTCTTGCTGTGTCGATTCTTTGATTCTTCCATTCTTTCTTTCTTTCGTTCTTTCTCTTCTCTCTCTCTCTCTCTCTCTCACTCAGTCACGCCCTCACACAAAACTTGCACTTCGGCACTTCCACTCCGTCTGCCAGTGCTCCTGAAGCTCCAATCTACTCTCGCCTCCTGGCCCTTTTGAAGTTGGCAACTGGCGCTGGTCTCGTGAAGCTTCAGCCACAGCTCATGCTTCACCTCAACACCAGTCATCTTTGCACTAGGTTTCAGGCATACGACGAAGTGACCCACACGAATGCTCACCTACCGCTAGCTTTGCGCCTTAGACGATGAGAGGGGCTATGGTGCATGTATGTTGGCCTGGAGGGATTGCGCGATCTCAAGTTTAGTCAGGTGCTTTCAGCATTCCGTGAACTTTCTGATGCTTAGGCTGGAAATTCTCGAGGCGAGCAGCATGTTCCATAATGATCTCCACCATTGAGCCTGCGCGCAGTTCATGGGCAGACCGCGAAGTTCGAGCTTGGAGCTCGCACTGAGCCCTGAGTCCCTCCACCCCCTCCTGTATGCTCTACACCTAAACACCTTCAAAGAGACCCCCAAGAGGCCAACAGAGGGCCAATGCATGATGTTAACACCGTTTTGAAGCTCATGCTCCAATCCACGAGGTTTCTGTGGACTTTGAATAACATGCCAGCACTTCCCACTTTCGGGTTTACCATACTATGCAGTGCGCAGCTGGAGCAGCCTTATCCGATGATTACCCCATCATCTTTTAAGGAACTTGCACCTGGCCTAGTTTCTCGTGCGTCTTCTGCCTGGGAAGCAGCAGGATCCGCAGACGCTGCTAAATGGCCATTCAGAAGCGGGCATGCGTGCAGACGTGGCAAGGCCGTTGTGGCGGACAATCCCCCAAAGTTAGGAGGCTACTGTCTGTCAGTTCTCGCACGAGAATCGTTGGGATGGGACGGTCTCAGGCCTTGTGGGTCGACAATGTATAGAGTGGCCCTGCAATGCAGAGACATGCAAAAGCCTGCTCAGGCAATTCTGGATGAAGCTGCTGAAGTGTGCCAAGCTGCTGCAACTTATGTGCCACTTTCATCATTCCAGCCACATCGCGTGCCTGAGCCGAATCGCGCAGTCAAGAAAAGCAACAACACACCTTAACAATGCTACTCTTGGGATTCATTTCTGGAGGTGCCTCCGCCCACCGGTCCAATGCTTGCAAGTGGATACGCACCGAGCACGCTTACTTACACCCGGCAAAAGACCTACGGAGAGGGAGAGAAGGGAGAGGGAGGGGAGAGGGGGAGAGGGGGAGAGGGAGAGAGGAGGGAGAGGGGGAGAGGGGGGGAGAGGAGAGGGAGAGGAGAGGGAGGAGGGGAGAGGAGAGGGAGAGGAGGGAGAGAGGGAGAGAGAGGCGGGAGGGAGGGAGAGAGGGAGGAGGGAGCGGAGGGAGAGAGGAGGGAGAGAGGAGGAGAGAGGAGGGAGGGAGGGAGGGAGAGAGGGGAGAGAGGGAGAGAGGGAGAGAGGGAGGGGGAGAGAGGGAGAGAGGGAGAGAGGGAGAGAGGGAGAGAGGGAGAGAGGGAGAGAGGGAGACGCCTGAAGTGAGAAGCTCCATCTGATGGCGGCAACATATCTGCCGAAGCTGTAGGAACTACATTGTAACTGCAGGGTCTACATGTCCCCAATGATTTTTCGTAGCTCCAGTGATAACCCGACCTAGCCGCACCCCGATCTCAACTTGACAACGGCCAAGGGGCGACAGTAAAGATCAACCGACCATGTTCGAAGTAGCCAGGTCCAAAGACCTCTCCAGCCACGACTTGATAATGGGATTCCAATTCAGGGCAGTGGCTGCCAAGAAACAGCTTCAAGATTTAAGAAACGGATGTCGCAAAGTGGTGTTCCCCAAGCCGAGAGTCCCTCCCCCCCTACGCTATAGCAAGAGACGAACTCCTACAAGTAGCGGATGGTTTACAAAGTCTACTACAAAGCCCCAGAGATACGGAACACGTGCCTCTAGCACTACCCCTCCCAAGGAGATCCGCAAGGAGATCCTCAAAAACGAGGCGCGCCTCGTCCAACTCCTCCAGCTGCACTTGCGCAGGGGTCCTCTTCTCCGAGGCAGCCATGGCTTCAGGCCCCCTTTGAGAGAAAGGGGCCTCCGACTGTGGCGCAACGTGTCCTTCACTGGAATGACTTCGTCTTGATGGAGGAGTTTCGCCACCTCTTCTTCGCGATTCCCAATTTGTAACCCTGCTGGGTACCCCGGGTACCCCTCTGCTCCTGAAGTGAAAGTAGGGTTTGGGATGCAGTATTTGGGGCACAGAGAAACCGCAATGATCCCATGCTGGCCTCGAGCCATTCCATGCATCAAGCTTGCTGAGGTCATCGCGGCCGCATTTTCTGGGATCGAACACCTCGCCTGCCACTCCTCTGGGCCACACTGAGGCAACCCTTGACCTGTCGCACGAAACCCCGAAACGTGCGACCTGTTGCACGACCCATTCTCTGAACGGAGACTGTGCAAAATCATGTAGTCTATGCATGCTGCAGGACGAGAGCTCCGCATTGACCCGAAAACCATTGTGTAGTGCAAGGCGTTTTCGTGGCAGGATTCAAGCAAAACACACGCGCAAGTACAAGTATATGATGCATACATACATATGTGTATATACGTACATATATAGATACACATACATTGATTGTATGTCGTATGTTTATCTGTAGTAGACCCCCCGACTTGATGTCAATGTTCAATCAGCCGCCGAGTTTTGAGACGCTTTTCTACAACCCCAAAGGAAGGCACGGGGCACTTTCTGGCTCTCCGAGCTCCGAAACCTCCGTGGCAGCGCCTCAACGTTTACAAAGGACCGAGGGCCTGGCCATGCTTGGCAGCACACCGTTCGTCATGTCCTCAACGTCGAACTTTTTGAGGAAATTTCGAGTGTAGCTAGCAACCGACAGGACCCCCTCGCAATGCACTGGGGCCGCAACCATGACGGCTTTGCCAGCGACCTCGGACGACCAACGCTCTTTTTTCTGAGTTCTCTGAGCCCCCAAGTCATCCAAGTCATGCACAGCCTCAAGCATCACCATGTCTGTCGCAACCACACCGTGTGCCCGGGCCTCGACATGAATGCCTCCTCCCGCCGCCAGCATGGCTTGTGCGACCTTGACCGCAGAACTCCACGGGAGCTTCGTTACTGGTAACAACTGGTGGCAGTTTCGCCCTCTACTGTAGTGCCTCAGCTTGTCGAGGTGTCGTGCGCTGCGATGAGTGAGGGACTTTGAGTCTAGGGCCCGTAACGGCCGGTGATTTCACCTGAACTTCGTGCCTAGCAAGCCGTCGAGAGTCTAGATGCAGGAGTCTGTGTTTGAGAAACTCGGATTTTGGAATCCGGTTCAAAAGCACAGCCATGGACCCACGAAGAAACATCGCTGGGTACGAGGCTTCTAGAGGCTTACTTCTTTGGAGCATCGATGCGTTGCGTTGAGGCAATCCACTGGCTTTACGGGCGGTAGGTGCTCCTATGATGAAACGCAATCTACCCCGTCAAAGGGGGGAGGCCGCTTGCAGTGCAATGTCAAGAGGTAGAGCAGGGTAACAACCCAATTATGATGGCTATGAAGCTGAAGAGAAGGCATAAACATCCGAGAAGTCCACAAGTCACAAGCTGTCAAGTCTGAACCAGGGTCCCTCCTGCTGGGGCTTTGGCAGCCGACCGGTTCTGAAGCAGCGACTGGTCAAAGTGGTGTGACAGACACTAATTTGACTGTCAAGTGGGAAGAAACATGGCCAGTGAATTTGCATCTGATACCCCTTTTAAGACGTGTGGATGTGGAGGCTTAGAACACTGGACCTGGACCACCAAACGGAATTTGGGATCTGGGGGCTGAAGTTTCAGGACTCAGGCTCTCCGAGACCCTGAACTGAGGGGATACCCAGTCCAGAAACCACAAGCCAAAGACGAATGAGTACTACATGTCGCGAAGCTGCCCCGCCTTCTCGAACTTCTTTCCCTCCTTGATCATCTGCCTTCGGTGACTTAACAGAACGAAAATACCAGCATCAGACTCCGTCCGGGAACTTTACAGAGACTTACAGAGTAGACGCCAAACAAAGCACCACATCAAGCCCCAGATCAAGCCACGGAACTACCGGCTGCAACCCCCTTCATTTTTCGATACCACTGCAACAATTTGCAACAATCTCGACAAGAAGTCATGAAGGTTCGGGTCCCCGAACCTTTGCAGCAAGCCCCACAATATGAGTCAGAGATTTCAGGACTTCGGGGTTGAGCAGCCGGGTTTCCCGACATTTTCGCTCGGTGATCGCGGTCGGCCTGCGAATCGGGCTCAAACCTCAGCGAGCAGCCGAGCCCTAACCTTGCGACGGGTATTTGCCTGGTTGAGGTGGGGTGTAAAAATCGGGAATTGAAAGGTTCTTGATAGGGCTCGTCATCCGGATGGAGTAGCAGTGAAAAGGCAGCAGCGGAGCAGCGGCCGCAATTCGTTCAACATACTGCTCATGTCGTCTCATGCACATTCATCGAATCCAGCTTGGAGCCCCGGAGGTCTCGCAACAACTTGCCAGCTGCATCGCCTTTGTCGCACACCTTCAACCGCAAGCTCACAGCTCACATTTCATCTTCGGACCTTCCTTGAAGACCTCTTTCAAAGCGAACCACGCCTCTCCTCTCCCACACCCGAACCTGCTCGACTAACCGATTTCACTGATTCGATGTGCCCCGACTTGCCTAAAAGCTGAAACCGCCGACCATATAGCCCAGGTCCCACACGCTTCATCCTCGCAGCCCGGCCGCGCATCGGTCGTGGAACCCTGAGAGTCTTATCTTAAACCTCAGGTCTTTCCCTCATCTTTGTCTCAGGCTTAGGCGTAGCGCTTCAAGGATTTTGGGGCGGCGGGGGGGGGGGTTTGGGTGGTCGAGAAGTTCGTGAGGTCGGCACACTTGTTCGGTGAGCCAGATGGCCCCCACCTGTATATCTTTGCCTTCTACCACGCTTCTACCGAAGAACACGTGAAGCCTGGGCGTCCCAGCACCGCCAATACAAGAGGCCTTTGATGTTTCAACCGTGACGCCCACAACTTGCATAAAGCAAAGGAAGCCGAGTCCCAAACCAGCGCTCCCCTCTTGTGCGGGACGTTCACGCCGAACCTCGCGCAATATTCCGTCGGAAACGACCGGCGTACGTGCGGGTGGGGGTGCGGGTGGGGGTGTGGGTGTGGG